TCCTTTCGACCAGACAGCTGAGCTGCCCTTAGAGCTAAGACACTTCCTGTGTGGACATGCAGTTTGGATAGGGTCAAACATGAGGCTATCGAAGTAGTAAAATATAGCCACAGAAATGTAAGTAACAATCACAGTGGCTCATGCCTTCTGTGCTGGTTGTTGGATTCTTGCCTTTCAGCCCCAAACCCACTCTGCATTGTGCTGCTTGTGATGTTGGAGGTGGATCTTGCAAACATTTCTCCTTTGCCAGTAGAAGGCTCTGTAGGTACACAGCAGGAAGAAGGGACTTCTCTTCCTGACTCTAATGTGCCTTTTCTTGGTTTGCTCTTGCTGGAAATGGTGTCTTGTGGTGTGTGGGATACCCTGAGGTGCTCAATTCCCAGCAATATATTGGGTTCCAATTTTTTAACTTGCTAGTTCTCACTCACTGCCAGCTTCAGCCCACATACACTCCAGTGGAGTTTCCTGCTTATCAATTTTAATCCATAATTCACTCCCCACCAGTCTCAGTCTAGAAGGGGCCTTTTCTACCATTCATAGGCTACAATCACAAGTCTTCAGAGATGTTTGAACCCCAGCCTTGGGAAGAGGGAACTCCCTTTAAAATGTTCACTACCTTTGGGTATTTTCCCTTAGTGACAGGGTATCGAGTATGTTTTCTTTGTAGCTAACCCTCTGTAAATAATTCATAATGTTTTATTAAACCTTCCTTGCTGAATGATTGTGTGGTTTCTATCTCCTGATCAGGCTCTTATTGATTCACCTTCCAAGCCATGGCACATCTTTCTGAAAATGTCTATTAATGGGTCAGATTTTGTTGTCCCTGTGGAAGTATCAAATCAGTGCTTCTGAGTACAAATCTGTATGAAAGATTGCAATTCTATGGCCATTCGAAAGTGACTTAGGAGTTTTATGGCTCAAAATATTGGAATTCCTTGTAGATTTACCATGGCAGTTTTGTCCATTCACATTAGAAGCAGGATAAAAGAAATATGACTGCATGATTTGCTGGAATCCTTTTCTGTAGACTCAACTGTAATTTTAAATGGATCATTCCATTATAATTTAAAAATCCAGTTAAAAGACCCTCTGCCTTTTAAATTCCTTCCTACATTACATTCCTAAATCTTTTGCCCTAGAACTCATGCTCATCGCCTTCACTGTTTAGATTTTCTTCCCCGTTTTAAGCATCCTCATTTATATTGCCTTCTATGAACATTTCCTTTCAATTATTTCACTGACTTTTATCACTCACCAAAAAGAAACTTTGTTCACATTATTTAAGTAAAATTTCAATTTATACCATTTAAAGAAAAAGATCTCATTTTTGCTTTCCAGAATTTCCAATAAGTGCCATATATTGGGTTCCAATTTTTTAACTTAAGTATCAGAATTTCAAGTTTTACAAGTCTTCTCATATTTTTATATATTCTATACTGTATTTTTCTCTATTTAAGAATTTCATTTTATTGTAGCAACACCAGTGATGTGCTATTTATACAGAAAAATGATAAATTCCTTCTATACACCTCAGAGCAACCATCATAATGACACTGACATGCCAGTGAAAAGCTTTCCCAACTTTCATGAGCAGAGTTTGTGGTAGGCCAAGCAGCTGTGAACAATACTAGTAACTAGAAGGTATGGATATTTTGAGGAAGGCTTTGAAAGCCACACTTGCCACCCTCAGCTATTTATGATTACAGTTCTGTGACCAGATTTTAGCTAGGGAAAGCAATATATGAAATACAGGAAACTACAACTGAAGGAGTTCTCATATTTCAGATTTAGATACAGAAACTGAGGTTCAGACAGGCTAAATGGATTGCTCAAGGTCACACAATGGGAAGGATGTAGACTCTTACCTTTTAATCTCAATTACATTTGACTTGGTTGGACTATTGCTCTGAATCTGGTAAGGATCAGAGCTCCTTGTGTTTAAATTACTTTTAAAAGGCAACATTATAATATTTCTTGTCAAGTTATGATCATCTTTATGACCATCTTAATTTTAAAGATCGTTTGTCTCTAGTTAGCTTCTCCTAATAATAAAACATATCATTAATGTGTTTGGAAACCATGAGATACACTTTTGTGTAACTAAGGAGGTGTTTTTTAGACCTTAGACAACAGAGAGGTATAGTTACATTTCCTATTTGCCCTTATAATAAACTGAAAGAGATTTATGCTTGTTAAGTTATGGTTAAACTTTCTAGTACTTCATTGCTATGAAGTACTTCATTGCTAAATCAGTTATGGTAACTTTATTATTTCAAATTCCATGTTTTCATTTTTTTCAGAACAATGATAATAACAGGAGAAAACCTTCAAAGGTAAATTTAAAAAAAAAACAGTTTTTGGACAAAGCATTGGAATTAAGTCAGAAGAATTAAATTCTAAGCTGGCTTTTCTTACTATGTGACATGCTGACATCAAAGCCTCATTCAGTGAAATGGGGCTAATGATAGATGCCTTTTTCATATCACAAGGCCCTTGTAAGGAAAAGTAGATAATAGGTGGGAATTACTTTGAGGTTTTCTGGAGAAAATATCTGTATTACTTAAAGCTTTTCAATATCATGTTATAATGCTGCTAACAATTTTTATAAATTATGTCCTATTTACAATTTAGGCATCACCCAAAAAGTGGACTTGTATAAAATAGATTCACATTTTAAAAATGGATACATTTTAATGTTGCAGAAATATGAGTTTAGAATTAGTCTGTCATTTTTCTTTTATAGAAAACGTAAGATCTGACTAAAGATCTTTGATTAATGATTTGGCTTCTGTCATGGGATTTCTCTTCAGACCACTAGATGGTGCAATTTGTAGTCTAAACCTTGTCAAAAGAATTTTGTCAGAAGCACAGTAATAGAGACCGGCTTTTGGAAAAGGCAAAGTGAGGGAAACAATTTGGAATAGTTCTTAATACCTAAAGAATGTTATTAATGCCTGGGGATACATAACCATCTCCTCTCAGAAGAAGAGCAGCGTAGAGCATCAGTTCAGGCAACTGTTCCTATGTCAGTCTTTCAATAGGTTTCTTCAGCTAATCAATTCTCCTCAAATGCATTCTTTCTCTATTTCCCTCTCTTTCCTTCTCTGGAATCAGGGCAGAGGTCAGGAGCTCTGGGGAAGCCACGGTACAAAGGTGCTGAGCACCTGAGAGGCGTGGTGATGGCACTCTGTGTAAGTGCCTGGTCTGAGGGGGCAGCCAAACAAAAGTCACAACCATTAGAGCCCGGCTCTGTTCCTGACCCTGCTATGCTCTACGGGCAGCATGTGACTATGGTAAACTTCCTCTGACTTTGCCCTATTTATTTATAAATCTGACTCTGTAACATTTGACTCCTCTTCCCCTGAGAGAGCTTACAAGGATTAATGAGATAATGGTGCAAAAGCTAGGACTTTTAACGAAAACTGCTACTTATAAGCAAAGCATCAGTGGGTGAGTACATAACTAAAGTCGGATATTAAAATGCTCCTGAATTGGGTGACATCATGCTAACACGTAAAAGAACATTTTTCAGAAGTGAATATGATTACGAGGGAGGAAATCAGGCCTTTGAATAAAAATGCAAAGTCCAGGAGGCAACCCCTCTGCACAAGAGGAGGCTGATGAAAAAGTCTCTTCACTGACAAGAAGGAATCTTGCATGGGAGTGGGAGTAGGAGTGAATCTTTTCCAATTCCTTAGGACAGGAGGAGCAGACAAGAATGTACATGATGTCAGAAAGGTCAGAAAGACACGAAAAGTTTAGAGAAGAGGTCTTGGAAAGTGGATGTTGTACATGTTCTTAGCTTTATATCAAACAGACCTGTTTCTTTTATACTTTTTTTATCGTGGTAAGAACATTTAATATGAGGCCTCCTCTTTTAACACATTTTTAAGTGTACATTATTGTTGATTATAGGTACAACATTGTACAAAGACCTCTAGAGTTCATTCTTGCTTCACTGAAGATAAAAATTCATGTTCATTCATTAACTCCCCATTTCCTCCTCTTCCCACTTTACAAAATCAACACACATACAGTGAAGAATCTGGGAATCCCTGCTGGATTTATTGAACATTATTTAATCAATGGAAGAGAAAACCAAGTGAAATTTCCATGGGGAAAAAAAAAAATCCCAACAACTTCCAAACATATTATAGGGAGGCTGAGAGGCAGCTAGTAAACTCACAAATACACATATTGGTTTTCCAAGTGTCCAACAAAGGGCTTAAACTATGGCATTAAGTATGGCAGTGGGGAAGGGATTGCCTCCCTGTCGTGTATGGCAATGGGAACCTTAATAGGTCAGTTATGAGAACCTGGAGACAGTATACCTGGACCTCATAAACATCTCGTGTCCAAGCACACTGTCCAGGTCTCCCACAAGTGGGCAACACTAGGTTAATAACCATAGGTCTGCAAATTAAAGGAATTCTGGCTAAGGATGCATTTCCTGATCTCATATTTAAGGAATTTGAGCTGCTCCCAGATGATTCCAAGTTGTCTCTCATGTATCAGGGCTGTGAAGGTTTTTAGAGTACCTACATTTACAGGAAGCTTTATTTTTCTCTTGGGAAAACATTGCTCTGAGAATGAAATGGCTACAACAATATTCTCTGTAACAGCCAAACACTACCTCCTTCCATGTGCTGAAAATGATTATATAAAGAAATTGGTTTGGGACATGCATGTTACAGGGTTGCCCTATTACATTCCCCTTCTGTTTACCTCCTCAAAACATTTTCCCTGGTGTGGGACATATACTCCACACACACAATGTGGTCAGAAAAATCTATAGATGCCTAAATGCCTGGAGGCATTTACCTTTGTTCACAATAGCTTTATTTCTGTGCTGAAATAAAATGCTTTTCAATCAGAATCCTCTCTCTCAGCACCTAATAAAGAATCCAGATGGAACCTGTTCTATCAGAGCAGAAAACCACCAAACTCAAGATAAATAAAATATTTTCAAAACATAGTGATAGAACTAAAAGTGCATTTACCTGGGCAATTATGTCTGTAATTTCTGAGTAACTATGGCATCTTCTCACGCAAGATCGAGCTAAAAAGTCTTCCACCAGCCGTGTTCCAATGCCATATCCCCTGTGGATCAAGAAAAAAGTGTGGTCTGAAAATAAATTATTAGTGAAGTCTATCAGTGTTAAAGAATAATCTGTTTAGCACTTGCAGATGTGGTTAACAAAGTAAACTAAACTTGACAAATCGAACAGCTATTTGGCAGCTGGCTCCTTATTTGTCCTATAGACCACAGAAGGAGAGAACAAACTCATCCAGGGAATACTAGTTTCCTATAAGCAGAAGAGTCAGAGGAGTCAAGGCTGGCCCAAATGTGGCAGTGTAAATTCTAGGCTGGTATCATAGACTAATGTTCCTTATTGACAATTAACTTTCTCATCATTAGCTGTTGGCAGAAACAGAATGAGGGTCTAGCTAACTTGCTGTCTGCTACAAGTGCACTACCTGGATGCTTATTCTTCTCTTAACATAGTCACCATGGTAGAGGGGCAGGCATGTTTGGAATGGGTGCTGGAAGGAGGGGAAGAGGGAACAGAGAAATGAATTTTTGTTGCCAGTGCAGTTTTCAGTAGTTAGAACTCTGATGCTTAGTGAAAAAAAAAAAAAGGAAAAGGTGAGTCTCAGAAAATTCACTTTTCATTCCTAGGAAACTGAATCTATAGGACCTGGGAAAATGTATTTGTATTATCCTTTAGCTCCACCTCACAGCGAATAACTTGAGTCATAACTGAAATATAATTCTGAAAGCATTTTACTGAGATGTGATAACCCAATTAAGTATGTGGCTAGGATGGCTGAGGAGACACCTTGAACAAAACAAACATAGAACTTCCCATCTAGCTTAGGAAATCTGACCTTGCTGTGGGAAATAAAATGGAATAGGATCGCTTTTGCCAAATGACTGGCACAAAATTTCACAGCCACATATACATAAGCAAGTGAAATGATTTGAACTGAGTGACACAAGGCCCAACAAGGTAAAACAGCAAGTTTGTAGAGCCAGTATTTGTCCAAAGGGACTAAAAAGGGGGAGATACTTGGTGACTGGGTTGTTGGCGGGAGATAGAGTTGATGTCAGAGTGAAACTAACTCATTCACTTTATGAGATATTCTATTTATAATTCTCAGTGGATAGAAATATTCAGTTTAGCTTACTGGCCTTTCAAGAAAAATGTCTTGTGACTCTAGCCAGGAAATTCACACTGAAAAGACTTTTAAAGAATACAATGTATACTTTACAGAGATAGTTGTACCAGGATTTAAAAAAAAATGTTTACAGTTTTCTCAGGTTATGCATACTCACAGGCTTGCTCACTAGGGACAGTGGGGGAAGCCAGAACTCTGTGGTCAGGGCAGCATGCTTACATATATCTTGCTTTGATCAAAGGCTATGTTTCTGCAAGGTAGATGCTTTCAGCAGAAGCTATTAAAGAAATCTAAATGTGAAGTATTATTTTTCTTAAGCAAGGCCTTTCTGCAGCCTCTCAAAATTTATTCTTTAATATTTCACCCATATTTGTTGAAGTGTGCACTCAAGTAGCAGCTAAGGTGTGTTTTTTTAGTCAAATAAATGAGTTTCTTCGTTTTCTACAGCTGTTCCACAAAATAATGCAAATTTAGCATAACTTCTGGAAATGTTACATCACATGTTTAAGTATGACCTCTGTGTAAAATAGCTTAAGCAGCTCCCAGCACCAGAGGTGGTTTAGCTTAGGAAGTGCTTCTGACTAATTAGGAAAGAAATGCAAAACAAAACAAAACAAGACAAAAGGTAAGTGGACCAAAATAAACACAGAACAATGAAAAATTACTTTCCAAAAGGAAAAGGATAAGCCTATATAGAAAGAGAAGACACCAAGGGTTCAAAACAAACATCTTTCAAGCTTTCCTTCATATTGTCTTTTTCCTGTATTCCAGCTGAAAACACAGCAAACCTTTCTGCAAAGCTCTAAAATGCTCATCAAGGCTAAATTTCCCCTTTAATCTGGTTAACTAAATCTTTTAACAAGTACAGGTTTTCCAGACTTTGCCCTGTTATTCAGGATCCATAATTATGAGGTTCAAAAAATGTTGACAGGTATTTTATTATCAGACAATAATCTGATGATAATATAATTATTCTGAGAAAATTAAAGCTTGAATTTATGTAGAAGCAATCTCCATTAATAAAGAGGAGAAATGACATTGTTTTAAAAGGAAGGAGTGGGTTTCTGTAACATTTTTAAGTAATGGTGAAAGCATTTGAACAATAAAAGCACTACACAGGAAAAAAATAAATCTCTCTTCTACCAGTAATGCCCAGTCTCCCAGTTCTCTCAAGCAACTACCGTTAGTAGTTTTTTACATATCCTTTCAAAGATGGTCCATGTCAGCACATATTTATATTGGAAGAAGTTATGTTAGAATAAAAGACTTCTTAAAAGAATCAAATATGATGATCTATCATATTGTTAAAAGAACCTTTGCTTATAAGCAACTAGCAAAAAAATTGATTTCTGACTAAAAAGAATAAGCTCCATGTTTGATATTCATGGAAAACAAATTCCTTCCTGTTATTGTATACTTTATGACAAGCCAGTTCTGGCAGTTGTCAGAAATTATTTTCAGCTTTAAGTTGGAATTCATTGAAATAAAGGAAGAGCTGGTGAAATGGAGCAAGTCATTAGGATGGACAAAATGCAGAGGATGTTAAGAAACAATGTACATTTCACAAGAATGAAACATTTCTACTTACATTTTGTCTAAATATTTATTCACATCTTCATCTTTTTCATAATCCTTACACAACTGAGCAACAAGAGCTCCATAGGTGAGGACAAAAAGATCTTTGTTCTGGAGAAAAAAGGGTGTGTTTCCATTATAGGCAACATTATGAACATTATGCTACTTTATTTCTTTTTAAATGAATTGTCTATTCAGTTTTTCCAACCTTCTAACTAATTATTGCAATAAATTTTCACTTCTGGGAAGAAATGGTACCCACATTTGGACACATTTCCTAGGAGAAAAAAAAAGCTGTGAAATAAGATAAATTTCTTAACATGAAAAGATCTTTCTATGCATTTGCTTACTTTATATAACTTACAAATGTATTTTCATGGAGGAAGGTTTTTTTTTTAAAGTAATTGCTAACAAATTCCTATTGTTCTGGAATGGTTATTGGTATATGCTAACCATGGTCGCAGTTGGAAGGAATAATTGGAAAGTGAGACTTTTCATGAGTCTGGGTAAATCCCTAATGGGCTCCAGATCTGCCAAGGAGACCATCAGGATGAACCCAACTGTAGCAGAAAACTTGTGAGATTTTTTTTCTTCATACTTAGAGAAGAAAGGAGAATTTGTATTTTCTTTACAGATCTCCAAAATATATCCTATTTTCAGAGTTAATTAAAATGAAAACTAAAACTAAGAATAATTTAGGTTTGGTTTAGTATAGATAGGTAGAAAATATGGGAGCCAGGAAACACAAACCTTAATCAATCCATTTAAAAACATCTTTTATTTTGCTTCTGCTATTGAATACCTTCTAACTAAGGGAGGAGGTTATTAGAGATCATTTGTTCCAATGGTCTCCTTCCTATAGAGGAGGGAATGAGGGCTCAGGAAAAAGGAGTGACTCGCCCAACTAGCCAGAAGCCAGCAGAGCCAAGATGGTGCCTGAGACTCTGGTCCCCACTCCAACACAGAAGTTGCCCCCGAGAAGCACGAACATGAGCCTCAGAGTAGACGTGGCGAGAGAGGGTGGTAGGAAGGGGAGCCACTGTGGAAAAGAATCTTATTTTGTGCATTATCCTGTATTTTTATGAAAGGTCAAATGTGGATTCCAGGTTGGAAGAGGTGTCCTTACCTCCAGGCCCATATACCTCGGGCAGCCTAACATGGAGGGGAAGATAAGGCCCAAAGACATGTACTCCATTTTTTTTTTAAAGCATGGGTGGAAATAGCTCAACAAAGCAATAATATTCTTTTGGGAAGTGGCTTCTATAAAATATATAAAATATATATGTAAAATATTAAAAAATATAAAATATTATATAATTTTCATCTAAATCCTTCAAAAATTGGCCCTATTCTACCACTGTCCATTCCTTTATGTATGGGTTTATATCACAACAAATATGTTTCTTTAATTAGGTAGAACATTAATTATAACTTAATAAGTTTTAAAAGAATAGATCTAAATAGTATATGCACATATGAACATTACTTATTTTGAAAAATATAAGTCAAAATGCCATCAATTTGTATAGAATATACATTGATGTATATTATCAGACATTATCTGACATTACAGTACATTACCAGACATTACAGTAAGGGCACTAATATATATAATTCAGGTACAGGAAAATAATGAGTACTTTAATATTCCTATTTGAAACAAAGATGTAAGGCAAGTGCTTTAAACAAAAATATTGTTAAACAAATCACTGAAAGGTAACCATGCTTTCAATTTTAATTCAGTTCTTATTTAAATCTTCCAAGAACATAATCACAAGTCACAAAAAATGTCTGTAAATTACATATGAAATATCTGCCTAACATATAAGGAGTCATGGCAGAAGATAAATTACTACTATGTGGCAATATTACAGCATAAAAATAAGCAATGATGAAGAAGAGAGAGAGAGAGAGAATGATCATGTGGTTGCTGCTACTAAAGGTAAAACAAAAGAATTTGAAAAAGAGAGAAAAGGAGATCAAGTTATACCCTGCTTACATGCCATAGCCTCAGCATTGTGCCAATTATAATTAAGACCAAACTGAAATCATGGCATTTTCTTCTCTCTCTCTCTCTCTCTCTCTCTCTCTCTTCTTTCTTATTCCGTTGGGTGGGAATTAGCTATATTTTATTTCAGCTGAGTTTCAAGTTCAATATCCATAAAAACCAGTTTTCTCCATTCCTCTTCATGGCCAAAAGCCGGACCTTGACCTACATGTCCAGTAGGTTAAAGAAAAGATCAACATAAATATATCATCATGGTTTACAAAGCAGTCATGAGTAATGGACAGTCATTTCTCACATATGAAAAATACAATACCATTAATTTTCTCAGGAGGCTTTGGATATATGAGGATAAAAATGTGTTTTAACTGGTATATAAGTCAAGTGATTATGTGCAATATGAACCAGGTACAATTTTTTTAGTATTTGAAAGCTCCACATAAAAATAAATGAAGATCCCAGAATGCCAGAGAGGGCATCTGCAGGTGGGGTGTGTCTCCTTGCTTTGAGACACAAGTGCTACTTCTATAATTCTGAGTACCATAGCTGAAATTATTTAATTTTATCCAATGTCCATCAGTCTCCTGAAATAATTTAAAGAGCCTTAAATTTAATGATGAGTTTTCACATCTGCAATTTCTGAATTCCTAATGAGGATTAAAGAATATCTAAATCTAATCTTCAAATAATTAGGTTTTAAAAATAACTCTGGACTTGAAATATATAAAAAGGGTAATAGCACATACCAAATTACAACAATAAACATACTGAAGATAAAGAAATACATGTTTAAAAGTAATCTCTTAATACCAGGTTTTTTAAATGACTTATTCCTGCTCAGTTTAACACATAATCAACTATTTTATATAACTTTCATTTCCTAGTTCAAGAAGTATGAAATACAAAGAATTGCTTAATAGTTTGATACTTTTCTTTCAGTAACAAAGTAAGAAGTTGACACTTCTATAGATTTAATTAGTCCAAAAAAAGATCCTAAAATATGTATAAAGAATTGATTAGTCTGTTATAGTAAGAAGAGATCATTGTAACTATTCCCAGAGGTGTCATTTGTGATTCATTTCACTAAAGACTCCCTTGCTTCATGCAAAAGTCTATTTTTAGCATCACCTTTCAAAATAAATCAGAAATCACTCAAGAAAACATTTTCTGTGAAGTAGACAAAAAAAATCTCTGAGAATATGTTTATAAAAAGATCTTACTATTTTACGGTATTCTGGTCTTCTGTGTGCAGGGCGAGACATAGTGCTTGAAAGATGAAGAATATGATCTTCAATTCTTTTCTTTGATTTTTACCTTAGAGGTGTATCAGTCTTTGTCCTTGTTTTGTCTTGCAAGCTCTTCCTTGCTTTGAGACACAAGTGCTACTTCTGCACTCTATTGCTTTTGCTTTTCACTGAACTGAAGAGGAAAACAATCAGAAATCGAGCTGTTTTATCCTCACATACCTTGCCACTGATCAAATACTGCTTTACTTGTGAGGACAAGTTGTAATCTAGAGGCATAAAAGCTGATAGTCGGAAGTCAGACCAGAAGCCCTGGCTACTGAAAATTCTTTAGCCCAAGGGAGTGTACAAGAGTGGTGCTTTGATCTCATGCCAAGGCGTTGTTCTAAAATCACAAACAGAAACCTTCACAATCCAAAATAGATCTAAATGTTAGCATTATTCAGTCTTCATATTGATTGCTGTGTGAGTTCAAGACAGAATCAGCAACCTATAGGTAATAAATCTTGGGTTTGAACCTAATCAACAATTCTAATGGGTATCAAATTATCACCGAAATAATGGATATTACAGACCTCCATCTTGTGTGATCACAAAATTCAAATATCTCATCACATTTTTTTTTCATAAGCAGCAGTTTTAAGGAGTGATAAAATTTGGTGCTGATATTTTCTTACAAAACTGTTGCTCAAAATGGGTGTTCTACAATTTAATAATGTATATAACGATTCTGTCAGAGAAAGCAAGTCCTTAGCTTCCTTTTGATAGTTCCTGAGATGTGAGCTGTTGAAGGCTTTATTTATGCAGGAGTTTAGATATTCAATGTTAAAACAAGAAACTCCCTCATCTTGACAACTGCAGGATACAGAAGATCAAAACAGTTCCAGACACAGAAGCACAAAACGCAGTTTAAGAAAATAGTTGCCTACTTATTACAGCCTGAGTCAATCAGCCAGACATGTTCTGTGAAATTCTTGCTATGAAGTGAAAGACTGCTGACACTTTGAAGAAGAGTGTGGTGTAGTTGAAAGAGCCTAGGATGATTGAAAGGCTCAAGCTAAGTTACAGTTTAGCCATTTACTGGCTATGTGACCTTGGACAAGCCATTTTATTGCTTATGCGTCAGTTCCACATCTACAAAATGGCCATAGTAATTAATACCCACCTCACAGAATATTGGTGAATATCAAAGAGATAATGTGGGTTATAAAACATATTATAATGCACTGTATAAACAGTAATTATGCTTGCAGGTAAATATATTGAATCAGATTCTATGATACTTAGGGTATTTCCCTTAATGCCTACGTTCTATGACACTATTCCCAGGAAAATCAGTTTTGCTGGATTGTGGTACATGGGAGGCTTTTCAGTAGCAGATTATAACTCTTCATATTTATATGAGCTTTATGGTTTACAACATGGTTTTCATTTTCATCTCATTTTAATTTAACTGTTAAGTAGTCAATACTGTAATTGTTACCATTTAACAGAATAGGAATCTAAAAGCCAGGATGTGAAATTTGTACAAGGTTAGCTGGGTAGTAGTCAACAAAGAAGGATTTGGGTTAAATTTGCTGACTCCAAATCAAATTTTTTTATATTGCGCACAGTCTACTTATATTAGAGCAAACTATTTTAGTGGTAGACTCATAAAAGGTACTAAGGTATAGTGATGACATGTTGCTGGGCCTAGTCTGGAGTAATTCCCAGTTCTGGAAAACACATAGGAAGAGCCTGTATACTTGGTGGTCAGGGAGTGGTGGTACTGGAGTCGATTTCACTATGAGAATCCAGGACATCATGTGTGCAGCATTTCTCCCCCTCTTCCATGCCCCTTCTGCCAGGACCACCATACGGCTTAAGGAAGAAGTGCCTACCAGGTGCTCCTGCACAAAGACACAAGCTGCATGAGCCTGGCTGGTAAGCACAGCAGCAGGATGCTGGCTTATTGGTATTCAGACAGGAAAACCCACTTGCCTTCCCCAGGCTCTTTCCTTTTTTGTGAAATTGCTGTTCACTTAAATAGAACACAAAAGATGTGTTCCAGACAAGTAGGTGATATACAATGTCTGCCCTGGCAGCAAACTAGGAAAGAATCATTTCAAAATAATGCTGAAAAGAAGTTTTCCCTCTTTTGTTGGGAGCTCTCTCAGTCTCGGAGCTGGGGTTGAGTGAATGACACCTTCTTCACAATCTCATTTTATCTGCGCTGCAAACCATCCAACCCAAGTAAATGGGAAGCTGGGCCTCCCCCATGCTTGTGCCTTGGGAGACAGGTGGGTGGCTGAGTAGGCACTGGGGAGAAGCTCAAAGAGGAGATCCATCACTGTATGATCATCATCTGGGATCACCACTTCCAGCTGCTGTAACATCTGGGTAAGGGGTTTATCTTTTTTGCAGGTTCTTTTTATATTTACGTCTGCTTTTGGTGTTTATTTTAATCAAATTTCTTTATATAAAATCAGAGTTGATATGCTTGGTGCCCCAAGCCCCTGAGGACAGCTCTGGCCATCAGACCTAATTTCCCTTATCAATGTGTCAGCATACACTTAGTGAATGAACTGGTGGGTCCCTGCTGGGGAGTAGACATTTTATGTGTTGGACAGATAGGGGACAGCATGCTAAATTTTAACAAGGAAACCATTTGGCTATAAAGCCCATAAGAAAAGTGATTACTCATAGTTGTAAGATGCACAATCATCGACCAGTGACACACACATTCAGCAGATGAAGTCATTAGTTCTTTTAACAGTAAACAATAAAACTTAAAGATTCATCATCAACTCCTATACCGTAAGACTCTGACACCCCATAGTGACTTCTAATCAACCAATGCTCCATCCTTTCCTACAGTTTCCTGAAAGAATGGCCTACAATTTCCTTCTCTATTTCCTCACTTCCCATATACTCTATTAAATGGATTTTTTAAGATATAAAAATTTAAACATAAGGAAGATTTGGTACTTACTACCAAGCTCTACTGAACAAATTATCACATATACATCAGGCTTTGGTTTAAACAATAAAGCAGTAGAGGCACAGTTGACATATCCTGTACCCTCCTTGATACTATTCTTTCCTCTTCAGCCATCACCACTCCCCAGAACTTGGTATTTATCATTCCTATACATGGTTTTAAATATACATTGTGTTAGTAGCCACAAAAAATACGTACTAATAAAGCTTCCTGTAATATATCACACTGCACACATCCTACAGCTTGCATTCTTCTTTCAAAGTTATTTGTTAAGGTTTATCTATATGCATAGTTGTCACTCTAGTTATTTTCACAGCTCTATAGCAGAGGTTGGCACACTTTTCTGTAAAAGGCCAGATAGTACATAATGTATGCTTCAAAGCAATATGGACTGTCTCAGCTACTCAGGTCTGCTGTTATGCTGGGGAAGCCGCCATAGACAATTGCAGAATAGGTGTGGCCATGTGCTAATAACTTTATTTATAAACATTGAGATTTGGATTTCATGAAATTTTCACATGTCATAAAATATTTTTAAAAAATTTTCCCAACCATTTAAAAATGTAAAGAGCACTCTTAGTTCACAAGCCATACAAAACAGGTAGTGGGCCAGTTTGGCATATGAGACAGATTGCCCACCGCTACTACAGCTTTCTACACGATGGTTTATTAATCTGTTTCCTTGTTACTGGACACTAATACTGAAATTTCCTTTGTTATCTTGTACATGATCAATATGTTTTGGCAAATAATTTACTGGGAATTTATAAAAATGTTTCTTCTCTCTTTTCGGTGTATGTAATACTATATATATATATATATCAAAGTTTGCTAATTTTGTTTTTCACATCTTTTATATCCTAATGTTTACTGAATGAATCATTTCTTATACGGATATATTTGAAACATCTCTCTATAAGAAATCTCTTTATAATTTGATGTTTTTGCTTTGTTTATTTATTTCAAAGCTATGCAGTCACAGACATACAAGTTGATGGTTGTCATATCTTCATGAAATGGTTCCATTTGTTATGATGGAGTGTTCAAAATCAGCCCTTTAGATACTTTCTGCCCTCAGTTCAGTTTTGTATTATATTAATATTATTATCCCAGTGATATATATTCCAATACTTTTGCTTTTCAAGCTTTGCTTTGGGATGTCGCTTGTAATCAGCCTGCCTCTATTTTTTAATCACTCTGTAGGTGAGTTCACTCCAGCTTTGGTGTGGCGGTTAAGAGTGCATGCCAGACTACCGTGGCCCTAATCCTGGCTCTTCCATTCACCTCTGCGTGGCTCTGTGCAATTTTCTTAATCTCTCCAGCCCTCAGTTTTCTCATCTGTGAAAAGTTGAGGATAATATTAGTACCTCATCATATGGCTCTGTGGGGATTAATTGAGATATAATTGATACACAGTTTAAGGAGTTATAGCACTTACACATCCCTGAAGCCATCAAACCAATCAATAGAATTAACATTTCCATCATACCTGTTTTAACTGCATTATCTTATATTCTTTGTCAGTGTGATATCTGTTAATAACAGGGCCACACTAACAAAGTAATTTATAACTCCCATGTGACCCAGAGCCTCTCCTCTCAATCACCTTCTTATTTAACTCTTATAGACCAAACCAACATTTCCCCTGCCCCAGATCCACTCAGGACCAGGCAACAGATGAGTAGCAACACCCCATATTCCCCAAAGCCCCCCATAATTATTTAAACTAGCTAATCCTGAGCCCTGGCCTTCCCTTTACCATGGAAACCCCAGTAAAAGCTTTGACTGAAGCTTCCTTCTTCTGCCTCCTGACCTCACCTGGTGCCTCCCCAAGTGGGCCCATGTGGCCTGGCATGCCCCCTTCTCTAGATAAATGTAAATAATAAATTCTTCTTTCAACTTCTTTCAGTGTTGATCCAATCACCTCTTGAAGGATATTTTAGTAGCGGTATCTTATAACTATGTCTTGCCTTTGTTGTATTTTTTAAAATAAAAGGCAGTTATTTCTATAGCTAATAATTAAAGGAACTTTTAAAATGTCGTATTTGTACTCATCATTCTTCTCTGCTCTCCTGTCTTTTCTCAGAGTTCATTTTTCTCATTGCTGAAATATATCCTTTAATAATTCTCTTAATGAGGTTCTATGAGTGGTAAATTCCCTTAGTCTTTATCAGTCTTGCTCTGCCTTAAATGACAATTTAACTGGTATTATGCACCCTGAAGGTCCTGTCTTCTGGTCTCTGTTGTCACGATGAGAGTCTGCCAGGCCATTGTCAATCTTGTATAGATTTGTATCTCTCCTTTCTGGTAGCTCTTAAGAATCTCTAATTTCACAGTCTGCAGTTTTACTGTGACATTTCTATATACGGATTTATCTTTACACTTCTGACAACACCTAGAACTCTTCTGATGCAAGAACTTGGATTCTGCAAAATTCTCATTTACTTCTCTTCAAATATTGCTTCTATGTCTGTCCCTTCATTTTTCCTTCTGGAACTTTTATTAGAAAGATCATAGAGTTGCTTAATCTGTCTTCTATGTCCTTTAATTCATTTTTAAAATATATTATATTGTGTTTTTTGTGCTGCACTTTGGGTAAATTCCTTAGCATTATGTTTCAATTCACTAATTATGTATTTAACCATGTCTAGTAGAGAGTTTATTTGAAAAATTTTCAATCTTATTCACTTTTTATAAGTCAACCAAGCCTGGTCTAGTTGTTTTATATAGAAGTTAAACGACAGACATTTGCTGACTAAATAAACATAGAAAATACCTTACATATTGGATCATTTTATTTCTTGTTTATAGATATATCTTTATTAATTCCCAAATATCACATGTTCATAAAACAAAAAGATACCATATAAACAAATGTGTCACTTAACTTATAAAGCAACATGATATTACATTATATTCTGTCAATACAGCTACATTTTAAATAAAGTTAGAATGTTCTGTGTGTTGTGATTTGGCTTTGGGGTTACCCGAGTCTTATTCTTCTCTTTGGAGAGGCTGTTGGGATCTTCTGGCAGAACTCTTAGGTTATGGAAATTCCAGACAGACCTAAATTTTAGATTGCTTTACTCTTTGGTAATTTTAGTTATTCTTTATGTGACAATTTTATGGCAACCAAATCCTGATCTTGTACAAAGGCCAGAAAGTTCTCTGGCTTCTGCTGCTGTTTGCTGGTGCTGAGCATTTTTGTATCACACAAAGCAGCACATGGAAAGATGGCAGAAGGTTGCTTTGCAAGAAAACTGTCTTCTTTTTAGTCGGAAGATACACTGAAGACATTTTCTCCCATACCAAATGAATCTTTCTTTCACCTTCTTCCACCTGTAATCTGAAGTGCATTTATTAGCTCAGGATTCATTAAGTACACAAGGAAAGATGCCAGAATCCTTTAAACATGTAAGGATGTTGGGTCACTTGACACAACCAGTTAAACCAGTAACATCCCATAGTGGTTACAGCTGGCGGAGTCTGATGATCAGAAAGGGCTACAAGCTGATTTGTGTAAGAGCTTCCCAACAATGAGCACAACTCTTAACAACATTCTATCTTCTCTGCAGAAAAGTGGAACGTTTATCAATTCTTTAATTGCTGCTTTGACTATTGGTGGGCAACAACTGTTCTCCTCTTTCACATTCAGATGTCCCTGTCAGGTTGGGAAAAATTTCTATTATGGTTCTGCTTTTCTAGTCATTCCTGCTGTGATTCTTCTGCTTGCTGGCTATGCTCTAAGAAGCCAGATGTGGACAATTACCAGTGAATACTGCTGCAGCTATGCACCTCCACGCCGGAGAATCAGCCTCCTGGAACGCAAGCTGGCTTGCCTCAGGTTCTTCAGCATCACGGGGAGAGCACTTGTTGCACCATTAACGTGGCTGGCAGTGACCCTGCTGACAGACACTTACTATGAGTGTGCAGCAAGTGAATTCGCATCTGTTGACCATTACCCAGTGTTTGAGAATGTCAGTGCCAGCAAACGGAAAGAGATCCTAGCTGGGTTTCCATGTTGCAAATCAGCTCCATCTGACATGATGCTGGTGAGAGATGAAGTAGCACTTCTGCACAGATACCAGTCACAAGTAAGTTCTTGATTTTTTTTTCTGCTATGCTATCCCATATTAACTACAGTCACTGACAACATTTCACATTCCTGCTGCTTTTCATATTGTTGGATTATGAAACACAAACTAGGTGTCATTCACCAAACTGATTTCTACTGGGCAGCTATCTAAGTATAGTTAGGATGTTGGGCTTTAGAGTCAGCAGACGTGGGTTTGAGTCTTGCTCTGCCATTTATTAACATGCAAAAAAACCTTGAGTGAACTATATAACTTATCCATGCTCTACTTTCCTCAGCTGTAAAATGGGGATATAAATGGCATCTACCACATAGGGTTAGAGTAATAAATGCACTAATATATCTAAAGTGCTCAATATTATATCCAGAATCTTACTAAGTTCAAATTCCTTCTCTGCCCATACCTCATTCTAAAATAACTTCCTGACATGTGTTTCACCCCATTTTGATTTACCTTCTACACTAATGCCAAAATCATCTTTCTAATGGATATTGGATGATGAACCCCACTCCTTATATAAAGTCCTTTAGTGAATTTCTACTAGCCTAGCACAAATTCAAATTTTTGGCTGACATAAAAAGTGCTTTAATATCTGGCCCCTGAAACTTTAACACATGACTCCTATGACCCTCTGAATCCAAACTTCTTGAGGTTCTCCCAACTCTTTACTCTCTTATTTTTCTGTCTTCTTCTCTTATAAGGAACTCTCCTTGCTTCTGCTGAACTCCTCTTTAATAATTTAAGTCTGAGCATTATCTCCTCTGCAGAGTACTCCCCAGAGGAGATAATGCTCTGGGTAGTACCCCCTGCTATTCCCCTTCCTTAAGTGAGTTCATGTCTACTGAGCTTCCTCTGACCCTGAGTTTACTCATTTCAAAAACTATCACTTTTACTGTATTTCTTGGTTTGCTATTTTGTTTCCCTCTTTAGGTTAAAGTCTGTGGAAAGAATGAATGTATCTTAAGTTATTCACATGTGAGTCCGCATAAGCAAGCACCACATACAGCACATGGTGGGAGGTAACCTGGGATTCCATAAGTGACAGCTGATGAATTAATGGGCATCAGAGACAGACTTCCCTCCACCATGCTGGCTTCTAGTAAGTTAAATTTCAGTGAGTGTCACTGTGTAGGTTTTAGCCTCCATACAGTGCAGCTATCCTGCTGTGTATATATTGGTAATTTTAGGCCTGGTGGTGAATCACAGATTGTAAAAGACACCTTCACTTCCCAGACTGTGGCTGCCTTCTGTGGCTTCCCTATATGTGTGCAACCTGTCTCTGTCACTTTATGTAACAATTGTTAAATACTGAAAAAAGAATAATTAAAAGGGATAATTAAAATAATTAAATTAAAATAATTGAAAGAATAAGATAAAGGATTCTAAGAGTAGAAAGAAACCATTTAAATCAGGCTTGAAGAGTGGACATTATATAGTTGCAAATACGATCTAGTTCATTTTCCTTTCAAAGTACATTTCAAAAATGAATCATAAAACTGGTCAGTAAAGGCTATTTGAAAGAAGAGGGAAACGAAAAGGAAAATAATAGGGTACTGTACATTAGGGACATGAGAGTCTGCTTACTGACTTTCTTCTTTAGTCATGAAAAATAAAAGGAAAGAGCAACTCAGGAAGAAATATTCATGAATACTGTTGGCAATTCATCAAAAACACCTTATGATGTGACCATTATTATCTATCATATCATCATCTTCATCAACATAAATATGAAGTGGCTATTAAGCACCAACAAATGCTTGAGACTCTACCTGATGGTTGAAAAGTAAATTTGAGCTAAAAGCAAAGAATGTTTATATACCTTATGCAAGGGTAATTGGTGGGTTATAGTGTCTGCCACTTCAAGGACGGTACTTAGAATCCTTTCCGAGTTAACTGGCCCATATCCTTTGGAATCTAAAGCCATGTTGAAGTGGTTGGACCACACCATCCATCACACCTGCATGCATCTATGTGGATGTCCATACTAAATGATCAGCACTTTGTTAATATGGCAAAGACTAGAAAAACAAATTGCTTACCCACAGTTTAGTTCTCTATAGAAATCTCTTTTATTATAGGCTGTTCATAGAATATTTGATGTATTGATATTCTGTTTTTCTTTTTAAAAATGATGCGAAGATGCTGGGCTGGATTTTGGTCACCTTGGCAACCATCGCTGCCCTTGTCTCCTCCTGTTTGGCCAGGTGCTGCTCTCCCCTCACCTCTCTGCAGCATTGCTACTGGACCAACCACCTCCACAATGAGAGGGAACTCTTTGAACAAGCTGCAGAACAGCATTCACGGCTCCTCATCATGCAGCGTATAAAAAAACTATTTGGTTTCATTCCTGGAAATGAAGATATCAAACACATCCGTATCCCTTCATGCCAGGATTGGAGAGATATTTCAGCACCCAGTCTTCTCTGCATGGGTGATAACTTGCAAGGTCACTACAGCTTCCTTGGGGACAGGGTGGATGAGGATAATGAGGAAAGCAAATCAGGAGGTATTGAATTAAAACCCTGATTATAGCACTTTCACAATGCAGGTAGCTAAGCAGATACTTTATTTTTATGATGATGGAGTATCAATGTAATCTCTTCATCTTTTTCTCTCTCTTCTGATATTTGTTTACCTAAGTTCATCTGAAATGTTATTTTCAAAATCAGTTTATCTGATAATTGTGCCAGTCTCTCTTCTTGAAGTTTTACTGATGGTTTGGTAATGGCAATATTAGCCTAATTACAGTAATACATAATTTTAAGTCATATCAAGATCTAAATCTTGGTTTGGTTACTTAGTAACTGTGTGAAAATTAATATTTTTGAGTGCCATTTTGTTATCTGTACTTGGTATTTACCTCATAGAGATGTTGTGAGGATAAAGTGTGATAATATAAGCAAAGTGCTCAGCAGAGCGCCTTTCATAAATACACGTGCTAATAAGTGTTACTTTTTCCCTTCCTTAGTGTCTTCTATCACTATTTTTCCTGTTTCTAATTTCTGGTTTTCTTTATTTCTACCTCTATATTATCCCAGAATTTTCAGTGCTTCCTCCTCTTTCTTCAAGCTTAAATATCTGACCTTTTGGGGAACCAGGATAAAGAAACTTTCCTAAACTGGTCACATGTAAGGGAGAAACACATGTGTGAAAGTCTTGAGTCATCCTGCCATAACCAGGGGAATATGATGCATTATTGTATTATCATTAGTATCGTAAATGTTATTTTAGCACTTCCATACTAGGAGCATTTTTATAGCTATGACATATAAAGTTTATTCTAGAGAGCTTTCCCTGTGTGGCCCACTACAGAGACACCCCCCTGTGACTTTTTATTATCAAAATGCAACTTTGCACTCATTTCATTTGGGAAAGCAAAGCTTCATGGAAGAAATAGTCTATTTTATGTGAAATATGGGTTCCTTAGCATAATTGAAACAAATAGAAAATTAATTTTAAGGAAACAAATTATTTTTAAAACTAGTAAGAGATGCATAGTGTAATACTTTGTTAGGGCAGGAGGTTTGCCCCTTACTATTACTTAATGGACAAATCAATTAGTTTCATCTATAAAATAAGGATAATGGTACATTACCTGCTAGAAGGCAAGGAACTAAACCAAATGTATTCTTGAGATTCCCTTCTAAATCTAATAAGATTTTATGTTAATGTTTATATGCATACATGTCAATATGTATACAATATGTATACAACAGTTGTAGGCCCAGGTTGTTTCTATTGGAAGGAAAATACCACTGAGTTTAATTCTAAGTTTTTCTAAAGACATTTTCTGGCATTCTGGCATTCCTTTTTTTTTCTTTTTTTTTTGAGAGGGCATCTCTCATATTTATTGATCAAATGGTTGTTAACAACAATAAAATTCTGTATAGGGGACTCAACGCACAATCATTAATCAACCCCAAGCCTAACTCTCAACAGTCTCTAATCTTCTGAAGCATAATGAACAAGTTCTTACATGGTGAACAAGTTCTTACATAGTGAATAAGTTCTTACATGGTGAACAGTGCAAGGGCAGTCATATCACAGAAACTTTTGGTTTTGATCACGCATCATGAACTATAAACAATCAAGTCAGATATGATTATTCATTTGATTTTTATACTTGATTTATATGTGAATCCCACATTTCTCCCTTATTTTTTTTAAATAAAATGCTGAAGTGGTTGGTAGATGCAAGATAAAGATAGAGAGCATAATTTAGTGCTGTAAGAGGGCAAGTGTAGATGATCAGGTCTGTGCCTATAGACTAAGTATTAATCCAAGCTAGACAAGGGCAACAAAACATCCACGGATGCAGAAGATTTCTCTCAAAACAGCGGGGGTGAGGTTCTAAGCCTCACCTCTGTTGATCCCCAATTTCTCACCTGATGACCCCTCTGTGACTGTGTCTGTCTTAGGTTATTCCTCCCTTGAGGAATCTTACCCGTCTCTGGCTAACCAGCCATCTTCTGGGGCCATACAGGTGGCATTCCATTTTTAAAAGAATATTAATCTACTGATTTTTTTCAAGCAGCCAAGGAAAACTATTCTACCTAACTCTATTTGCAGTACTGATATGACATTACAGGAGGGATCTTTAAAAAAGTAGAAGCTGCAGTAGGCAACTAGGGTCCTGGTTTAGCTTTAGCTCTGATATAAATGAGCTGTGTAAATATCAAAGGCCACCCGCTTTGTTCTCTATATAGTCTCCTTCAGCCCTAAAATTCTATCATCCTATTTATCTAAGAACTTTTAAAATTCCACTGTATTGGGACATACTAATTAAATCAGTACTCCATCCTATGCTCAATTATTTTATTCATTTTCAGGGAATATACTACAGTAAATACTTTTCAGTAAGATTTTTCAATTAACAGCAATATCAAAGAGTATATGAAGTTAAAGCATTATGTCATCAGAAAGATAATAGGTGTTTATACACTCTAACACCTGGAAACATTCTTTCTACTAGATTCTGGAAGACCTTTCTACATCAAACAGTTTGAAACTAGGACATACACAGTTTATATCTGAGCCAGTTAATCATGACCTTCTACTATAGCTTTCTAGCAAAAGATTATAGTTATTCTTTGATTCCTCCACATGGCTTCAAAGGGCTTTATAGCATCTATGTGAACATTTAAAAGTTAGTACACTTTCTTGGCCTCATTGTATATTATCCATTTCAGGTTAAATAAGCTTCTAGTCTTTTTTTTGGTCTAGAGTATTCTTTTGTTCCACAGCCAGTAAGACAAAACTTTTCCATTAAGAACACTGTACTTCCTCCCCCTTATGCTTAATGGATTTATGTAATTTTAATACATATAATTAAAATCAATTATGTGCTAATACTACTTTACATTTAGCTCCCAAATGCTTTTGGCTACTACATCAAATACTGTAGCTTGGCATATATACAGACTTGCTCATTTCTTAGCTTCATATTTGTGAGCTCTCCCATCCCCCACCTCAAGCTAAATTGCCTTCTCTCCAAGAGACAAATACAATTGCAATGTTCAGATGTGTTTTTCTTAGCTTTGTTTATGTTTTCCAAAGGCAAATTGAAGCATACTTATACTCATCATCTTTGCTTCCTTTCTTTTCTCTCAATCGCCAGTGCTATTAAAAAAAAATTCTAATGCACGATTGTCCTAAGAAACACAATGTGATTTGTTTTTGCACTCTGTTTGTAGCTCAGAGGTTAAAATCATATTAACTTTAAAACTGAAATATCACAGCCACCCAAAGGCCTTCCAAATGCAAACCAGGTAGCTATTTACTACCTCAAAATATAAGGTGTAGAGATACAATTTGACTTTTAAATACGTCTACCAAAATTTAGCCCTGGTCACTAAAGAACAGATATTGATTGGCAGGCTGCCCTCTTGAGTAGGCAGCTACACAGACTAGCTCCCTGACTGTGGAGCACAAATCTATAAATGTGACTCCTGGAGCAAAGAGCAATGGCTGGTATTTCCAGGGAGGCAAATTACATTATTCCACACCTGCGTTATTATTCTGTATTAACTACCAGCTGTGAAAAAATTTTTCTAATCTCAGTACGCCATACTTAAGAAATTAAAGTATTCTTTCCTCTGCTGCCTCCTTGTGGCCCAGACATGAGTCTGCACCCATCTTCAATGAGCAGTAGTGAAAATAGTATGCAGTGCTTGGTATGTGCCAATCACTCGAAACAAATTGTCCCATTTACTCCTTATAACAAACTGGTAAAAAGAGTCACATTTTATAAAATGACTTACTGAAGTGATGTTAAATAACAGAGAATGTGAAGGAATTTTGCATAAAGTCTTATGCAATGAAAGCTTTCTCATTGATGTAATTATTTTATTAGATAACTGGTGAATCATGAGCCATAATTGGAATCCAATAAAATAAGCTCCTCCATTTTACTGATAAAGTAACTGAGATACAGAGAAGTCAAGCAATTTGCCAAAGGTTACATACCTATAAGTGTTAGAGCCAGAATCCAGACTGGGGGGTCTGACTTCTTACCCTGCACTCCATAGCACTGTGCTGGAATACAGCAACTTGAGGCAGTTTTTCAATTTTCTAGGGCCCTCTAAGTGTCAGGAGAATACTTTTCTTCCTGTCAATAAAGAACTAAACCATCCTGAGCTCCAACAATAAGGTGCCAAATCACATTTGAGTTCCTGTCTTTCCACTTCCACTGTACCTGCATAAATTAGGGCTCTCCTTCAAGGCACTGTGCTTAGAAAAGTGACTTGTCCACTCTCACTGGGTCATAACTTTGGCCCTGAGCTACCCAACAGCCAGTGGCACTGATTCTCTTGCCACAGACTAACTGCAGACTTCCCAGGAGTCCCAGGCATTCTCTTGCTTATGCAGAGAATGCACAGGACACCATGAGGACCTGTCAATTTGTTTTCAGTAGGCTATAGTTAGTTATGAAGGGTCAAATGAGGGTCAGGAAAACACAGTCTCTCATCATTCATATAGTTTTGCATGAGTCAGTCTTTCTGGGACTTTAATTTTCCCTTGTAAGAGATAAACTCCTAGATAAAAGAGAGTGATAAACATGGGAATGAGTGATTAAATCACTGAGTCAAGGACCTCGTTGAAGAGTCATTCTAGCGAAAACTATTTAGAAAAAATATTCAGAAAAATGGCACAGAAAAACATGCTTACATACCTCAGAGTTTACATACTGTGGTAGACTAAATGATGGCCCCTCAAAGATGTTCATATCCTAGTCCCTGGAATTTATGAATGTTACTTTATACTTTATATGGCAAAAGAGACATTGCAGGTGTGGTCAAGGTAAAGATCATGAAATATTATCCAGAATTACCTTAATTGGCCTTATATAATCACAAGGGGCCATATGAGAGGGTAGCAGGAAGAATCAGTCAGAGAGAAGGCAAAGTGGCAACGGAAGAGAAGTGTCAAGGAGTGTCAGAGTGATGCCTGAGAAACTGGACATTGCTGGCTTTGAAGTGGAAGGGGGAGTCATGAGCCAAAGAAGAATGAAAGCAGTCTCTAAAAGCTGCAAAAGGCAAGGAATTGGACTCTCCTCTAGAGCTTCAGAAGTAACACAGCCCTGATGACTTTAAGTCCACTGAGACCTGTGTCTGACCTACGTCAGAACAGTAAGAAATATACTGTTATTAATAGTTACAGAACTAAAAGATAATGAATTTGCATTTTTTAAGCCACCAAGTATATAGTAGTTTGCTACAGTGGCAACAGGAAATTAATATACATACCAACACACACATTTTAGGAGACTGTGAACCCACAACCTGTCATGAATGACATCCCCTGGATTCAGACCTCTTCAAG